TTTAGTCAGAAAAGTAAAAATTATATGAAGTGCAAAAACAAATGTGAAAATGTATTTCTTGAAATTATATGTAATAGTTTTATATTTGACTCATTTAGTAACTTTTTGTACGATACTCATTTGATTTTATTTTAATTACAAACGCATTGATCGAAATATGCAGAATGAAGAAATAGTTGCTATTTCTAGCTATCTATTCGTATTATTGTATGCAGCTCTACCTATTCATATACTGAACAATGCATACATGTATTTGCTACAACATGTAGTAAACTTCTTCCAGCAAAGGCTTAAGGTGTACGTACCGAATTTTATTCGTTATTTATTTATATATAAACAGATGATTCTTGCTTCAAGTAGGTTTTTGATTTCCTTATTTATGTGCACTAACATAACCTAATTATCACCCAGTTGGAACAAAACATGAAAAAAAAAAAAATTGAAGCATATGAATAATAACAACTGAATTGTGGATATTTAATATGCAAATTCGTTGCATCTTAATTGACAGAATACAGAACCTAGAAAATCGCTCCACGTATCAAATCTTTGTATAATTGAAACATTTTTCTAGATTTTCTCGTGTTATACGTTCCATGCAATTTCTGTGGCTTAAAATTCCCCTATAAATAACATAAAAATCTTACGTTAATAAACGGTGATAATCATCCATTCATTCATTCATTCCAACTCGTTTTTCAAATTTCCTTTCTCTTATCATTTATCGTACAAACACACCGACAGTGTACACATACATATTACGCTCTCTCTCAAACGAGCTTCATGCGATTTACACGAAAAAACGTTGGTCCATGATGGAGCATTCGTCGCAAAAGGTGAATCCGTGTCATCGCAAATATTTACCGCGACTGTTCCGCTGTTTGCGCCTCGATTATGCGCTTCTCGATCGTAAATCGCTGGCGACTTCACGCGCAACAGCGGTAATCGAGCCCGTGTTTTGAGGTTGGAAAACGATTCTGACGTAGAACAACGAGATTCCCGATAAGACAGCGCGGAGAACAACTGAAAACATTAATTTAAGAATGTAAAACGTTATTCCACACAAGAATCATTCCAGATAGATCGTATTCCTCAGATTTCCTCATGTTGGCTCACGGTTGGTATTTGAATTCGAATGCACTTGAATACGTCACGTACGAGCATTGGAAATATCGATTAACATCAACGATTCTTTGCATCGATGTGTAATCGATTTTGATTCTTCGTGCGTAACGATCAAGCTTCCGATCGAACGTCAGTTTCCCGTATTTGCTGGAATTGTCCTGACAAAGCTCTTTGTGTAAACATTTTTATTTGTACGTATACGTTTGATTTTTGCGAAAGCGCGCGATGTTTCATATGCAGATTCTTTCGTACATCAATGATACTTCTGTGTTATATTCCCCGCGTGGATTTCATTGCGAAAGTCCATTGCTTTGGCTGCAGTTTTATGCAATTCCAACCTCGAACTGAAAGATGCGCATTGTTCTGCAAACGTTTATGCAAGAGTATTCCATATTTCCGTTTCGTATTCCACGTAAAGTTTTTCTAGAAAAACGAGGAAAGTAGAGTACAATTTAATCTGCGTTGATAAGACGCAGGTAAGCAAGAAGATTTACTATTTATTATTTATTTATTTATTTATATATAATCCTTGCCTAGGCGGCTTAGGATGGCTTCTGGTTTACAATGAGTTTACATCTTTCTTATTTTCTACTTCTATAGCTAATTCTTAGTGTCTACGTCTTGTGGATCTAATTTGTCTTTTGCTTATCTTCTTGTAGGAACTGTAAGTAAAAGTAAAAGTAAAGCAAAAGGTAAAAGGTACTGTAAATGTTAGAGTTTATTAAATTTATCGAGGTTATTAAATATCATGATATTCGTTAAAATTTATGAAATTTATTAACTACATACAGTGCATCAATATTGTTCGTGCATATTCGTCGAAAAATGGTTGAAAGGATTGGATCAAGACTAACTATGAGTTAAGAAAAACACACGGATTTTTTCAATCTATGATTAATAAGATCTTGACAAGAATGCTAATGGCTACTTTTTTTCTGCTAAAATCGTCCCTAGCGACTTCACTTGACCTTTCGGACCGTTTCTGATGTTCCTGTTTCTTCGTTATTGCGCTATATCTGCAGATAGCGTCAATCCTGAATTGGTAAGGCAGGAAGTAATCTATCATTGCACGAATCTCGCCTTCGGCGGTATCTTTCCGGGACACGGTTCACTGTTGATGAAACTTGAACTTGGAAAGATTTCCATATTCGGAGAAAAATCTGCAATCCTAAGCCAGGAATTAAGTTTCCAAGGAACCAAGGATTTTCAATAACAACAGGATTATTATACGGCCAGGAAAAATAATGATAGTGCCTTAAAAAGGATACGAACGTAAGAGAAATTTCATAATTTCCATGAAATGAAGATGAAAAAACTGAAAAGATACGGGGCATAAGATGAAATGAGATAAAAGACGTTTCAGGATTTAAAATTATAGTAATGAAGGAATTTTATAATACGGTAGAGAAGGCATTTATAATGAAAGAATAAATTACATAATAATGACAATTTAAATTACTCTTTTTAAAATACCTTTTCAATATTTATAAATATTCTTTTAAATAATTAGCAATAATTTAAATCAACGTATTACATTAATGTAATATCACAATAAATGTTGGGGAAGATAATAAAATACAGAATGCTAAAAGTAATGAAAATAAAGCGTTTTAGATTCCGAAGACGTAACCGAGATGGAACGTTAAAGAGGGAAGTTGCGGTAATGAAAAAAGCTGAATGCTGAACATTGAAACAGAACGTTGAAAAAGGAGTTTCCAATAATAGAGAAATGAGCAACCAAATCGACGTATTATGGTAATGTGAAGGAACATCGATTCGAAGAAATCAAAGAAATCAGGGTCGAATGGACGGTTTTCGACGAAGCCATTGGGGAATCCCTACGAAAACAAAAATCTGAAAGTTATCTGATGCTTGGAACAAAAAAGAAATTGCCGTGTCGACCGTTCTAAAGGATCACGTCGTTCGACGAATTTATCGTGGTTCCTGACGTATTGTGGATATTGCGGGATCTATTTATTCTTTGTGTCTATCACCTATCACTTAAGAATTTTATCTTCGTTGCTATTTTTTAATTCTCAAATGGTATCGTTGGATTACGAACGACTGTAATAATTTACTTCGGATTTATTTATTTAATTAGGGTATTTGATTTCGCTCTTTTGATAATTTCACATTCCATGTGACAGAGATTAGTAATGAAATGAAATAAGATTGAAAATTTTAGAATTAAGAAATTTATCTTTAAATTATTATAATGTAAATGATTATTGTAATTATCATATAATTGTAATTTATTATATTCGTATTGTAATTATTATAGTATATAATATAATCTAATGATACCAGTTAACGATTATGTACATACGTAGCAAAAAGTAGAAATAATGCAGTGGCTTTTCCTTTATAGCGATGAAATATGCTGTTTGAAAATGAAAGGAGGATAATATTTGAAATGAAATCTCGCTGAAACTTTGACATTAATACTTTGCAATTTCTTGTCTTAGTATAACGAACCACAGATATTTCTCTCTCGAATCGTTGGAAATATACAAATACTTTTAGCAGAATGAGCATTTGCTTTTAATGAAGCAGAATTGACAATACAGTATTACATCTACAGAAGATATGTTCATCTAAACAAGTTGTACAACTTGATCACATTTCCGCTATATCAAACTCCTCTCTTTCCTTTATTAATCAATGACGGAACGAAATTCGATATCTGCTTTATGTAATCTACTAGCAATTCGTCAAATGAGAAAGAACATATTATTAATATTGAAAATTGTTTTTAGTTTCATCGGGCTTAGCTGATGGCTGTTTTATATGAGAGAAGATTAAGTTTACGACATCCTCAGCTTGTTTGCTACTGACCATCGGCTAGTCAATTTGCAGAATTTTACCTGCGAGCTACAATACGAAGAAGTCATAACATAATCCATCAGGGAATATAATCCCTTTTATCTATTAATGTTTCCGTTATTCGAGGCTTCATTTCTTGCAATTCGGTGATTAATAAACTGTAGCCGGGAGGAAGTAATTTTCGCTTTTCCCTCTCTTCCAATGCCCTTTGTCCTAAATCAATTTCTATTTTTCCTATTAAGAAAATATCTTCGCTTGTTCTCATTTTGCATAAATTCCTAAAAGAAAATTCAAACTATTATGTAGAAATAATTATTTATTGAAACTAGAAAGAAAGAAAAGTGTTCTCGAATATTTCTTGAGATCTACAAATATTATTAATTAATTTTAAGAGAGATTAGATTACATTTTCTTAAAAAGATATGATATTTTTAAAGATATTTTTTAGTATTGACGAATACTTTATATTCGATTGCAATATCTAATGTGTCTTCTGTATTTTTAGGGAATGTCGATGACTAAGTAACAATGGTAATTTTTATCACCGACGACAATTACGCTGTAATATCCGTCTGCGGATAAAGATATTTCCATAGACAGTCACAGGACAGTTAGATTTTTCCTTAGGCTATTTCAAACATTAGTTATCCATCAATTAGTCATGAATACACTTTCCTACGATATTGTTCGTGGATTTCAACATATTATTAATATTGAAAATTGTTTTTAGTTTCACCGAGTTTAGCTGATGGCTATTTTATATGAGAGGAGATTAAGTTTACGACATCCTCAGTGTTTGCTACTGACCATCGGCTAGTCAATTTGCAGAATTTTACCTGCGAACTATAATACGAAGAAGTCATAACATAATCCATCAGGGAATATAATCCCTTTTATCTATTAATGTTTCCGTTATTCGAGGCTTCATTTCTTGCAATTCGGTGATTAACAAACTGTAGCTGGGAGGAAGTAATTTTCGCTTTTCTCTCTCTTCCAATGCCCTTTGCCCTAAATCAATTTCTATTTTTCTATAGTTTACGAAATTCCACTGAGAAGGCGTTTTAAAGTAGAATTTCATTCATTCGAGAACAAATACATTTTTCTCAACAGAAAGCATATTTTACTTTATACAAGATTTATGTTCCTCTACTTAGCTTGAAATACAATTGGAGATTTATTCTCTCAAACTCTTGCTGTATTAATTTAGCTCTGAAATATTACTTTCATGTTAAAGATTTTACTCATTTCGAAATGGGTAAGTTGAACATTAGGTTGGGAAATTATATCTTACATTAAAATTTATGTTCATTGTATCAAACAGATGTGGTATATACCTCTGTAATTATATATTTGAAAGTAAAATTCTTAGTATACATACTGTCTCGTTACTTTTGAAAAATTTATTAGGCGAAATTTAAATGATAAATTATTTAATAGAATATGAATTACTTTATATCCGACGATTGAATGTCGTCGTGCAAATTATTATATTTACTTTTGAATTAATGAAACTTTTGTAAATTACAGGTTCCACCAATCGTTTCGTTTAGTTTGCGCCGCAATCGATTCGATATCTTCATTAAAATAATTGACAATAATAATAAGAAAATAACAATAATATTAAATTTGTTGAAAAGTAGAAATATTAAATTAATCATTCAATTAGTACAATTAAAATAATAAATTTTGAAGTTTAAGCAAACATATTAAAATGAAAATTCAACTAAACTTTTATCCCTTTCTTTAGTTGACAGAATAAATTTTTCAATAAAATAAAATATAAATGAATAAAGGGATAAAAGTTTATATAAATGATATAAAATGAAAAATTATATAAAAAAATATAAGCAGAAGCTATTTAAAACACTTTTCAAACAAATAGATAGAAATTGTTTTAGATAAAAGTTATTCTCTTTTTTTTTCCAGGTTCCTGGCGAACATTTTTCGAAGGATTTTTATCGACAGGATTTCAAGAATGGTTTATCAAGTACCTACACGCGTTTTAAACCTGTCACAGGTATTACATGCAGATATTTTATTTTGCACTTAATTAAATTCACTATTTCTGTGCACAAAAAAAAAAAATGAAATTCTACTTTTTAGTGTTATTCTCATTGAGACTGGAAAGTATTTCATATTCATTGCAATTTTTCTCTTTGTTCCTTTCCCACCTTACAAATTACAGCTTGTCTGATTCTTTTCTTACAGATTGTATGTTCATCACAGCAGATCCAGGATCTTTTATATACAGTTCGAAAACTGACAGCGATGAGGTTTGCGGAATTTACTTCCTAGCTGGGCCGGATCAAAAGATAGAAATCAACTTCCTCACGTTCGACGTGCCCTGTGAACACCGTGGTTTGATTTCGGTGAGGAAACACAGAGTCAACTTAAATAATCCTATATCCTGATCCGAACTGATGTTGATTATTTATGACACAAAGGAACAAAAGCAAATAAGACTCAAATGTGACAAAATACAAAGAATGATCTAAATTTAGGGGAGAGAGGACAGGGAACCTTTGTTTTTCGTTTTAATCTTATTCAATCTTCGTCTGTTACAAGCACCGCTTGTACATTTTCTGTACTGTACTTCTCTTTTGTCCAATGGAAACCATTGTAGTACAATTTTTCCGCGACAATCCTCGCCTACTTTTTGAATACAGAATACGCGTGCACGTTTCATTCCGGCAGATACGTTTTTTTTCCAATGCATTCGTTGCATGTGCCGTGACAACAGCCCATTGAGAAGGATATTTTTATATCGTGCAGGTCGTCGATGGCTGGGAATTAAACGGTGAAGTGTTTCCCAGTGAAATGGACCATCGATTGCCGCTGAAACAGAGGATCAGCGAATTCTGTGGTAAAAATATCGGCGTGAAGAGGAGCTTCACAAGTTCACAGAACGCCGCGGTTATCCGATATAGAATACCCAAGCCTGGAAAGGGATTTACGCTGTTCGCTAGATTTTTAAAAAATCCCAGACGTGAGTTGAACCGATATCCAATATTAAAGTCAACGAGTTTTAAGATATTTTCTTTTTCTTCTTTTTTCTCCTTTTTTTTTTACAGAAATTTAATCTTACGACACTCAATGGATGTTAGGAATTTTGAGAATTATGAAAGTTCCATTTTACGATATGAATTACTTATTGTCCTGTCTCTGCTAAACATGTGGTAATTTCATTGCTGGCATGGTCTAAGGAAGAACACCCTTTTCTTTATTTTTTTCAGCGTGCAACGTTTTGGCAGCGAGCTTGAGCGAGCCGTACACGCTGCGTAATTATGGGCGGCGTGTTAATTGCACCTACGTCGCGCTTTACCCGGGCACGGTGCAAGTGATCGCGCTTGGCGTTGGAGTTTCGAATTTCCTCGGTTCCTCTCGCACCGCTGAAACTGGAACTCTACGAAAAGTTCGTAGCCTTTTTATCAACTCCCGAAGATCTTTACTGTAATATATTCCGTACCTCTAAATACCTCTGAATACCTCACCTTCTTCAATTTACTTTTCTTTGCTGCCGCAAAAGAAAATCCAACATTAATCTCTGCGTTTGAATGATCACTGATAGTGTAGTAGTTGAAATTTAGAAATCAGAAATTTAGTGAGTTTAGGAAATCGCGTGGCAATTTCTTAATGTAATGATTGACATTTATTTAAACTCAGATTCATAATGCAATTGAACTTTTGACAATGGAATCACATTGCTAGAACTATATGCTACATTCTGTAAATAACACATGTTGCTGTGTCTATGATAATTCAATTTGTAAAATTTATACTTTCCCTTCCATTTTTGTCTTGAATTAACTTTTAGTCCCCTCTTAGTTTCTGCAACTAGTTTTACAGAAAGTAATTATATGAATAGTGATTGTACAGTAATTATACGAATAGCAATTATATGATAGTAATTACGTAATATTAATTAAACAATGATTTCCAGTGCGACGAAACCAGTCCCCAAGATCAAGTGATAATTGGAGGCAGCGATGGCCTGGACACTTCCGAAGTTCGGGTAGTTGATTCTATTTGCGGGATAGATTCTAAGCCAGGTAATACGATTAATAACTCCTAACGGCAATATCGATTTCGAATCGGAAAATAGCTTTGTGTCGACCCACACGCAAGCTAATTGTAACGCGTTTAATTTGATTGCCTTAATATAACCTACTTACCTGCTCCCCTTTGACTATTGATTGAAATATTAAATATATCCCGATTCATGTATGTTAATTCTGTTTTAGATAATTGTATAGCTTAGTGTCTTTCTTCAATTTTGATTCCAGTCCTCTTTCCAAAATCTTTATCTCACTAAAGACAGTCCTCTTTTTCGAAAAAAAAAAAAAAAACAATACAGATTGAATAATTAATGTACTTTCAAATATTCAGTTTAAATTGAAAGAAAGTTTTAAACGTGTACAAAATAAGATTAATGCCTGAAGACATTAAGATTTTAAAAGTTTGCTTCGTAACAAAAAAGTTCAGAGAAGAGTCATTAAACACTATGTATGATTGCTCTGTTTCAATTTCCAGATTATCACGAGGTGGTGAAGTACGGCGTAACTTCTGTTCGGCTAATATCCAGTGGCTTCTTTGAAAATTCCGTAACAGTGGAGGTTCTACCGCTGAAGAACGAGTTACTAGACGCGAATTTCAGCATCTAATCTCAGCGGTATATCTCGTAAAACGAGCCTCGTTATGTTCGTCGATGCTTAAACCGATTTGAAACATCATCGTCAATATGTTTATTATCGATCAGAGTTCCCTCAAAATTCTAGGCGTCTTCCGAAAACTTTTACATCACTGAATTCGTTACTCATTGATATTCCATTTTCTGTAGTGTTTGTAAAGATACTTAGGCCTTTGTTACATATTATATTTATAGTGTTTAGTTAGAATTAGGTACGAACGGATGTGTTTTATTGTGAACTATCATTTTTTCATTAAGAACGCAGAAGCCCTGCGTTGGCGAGGGAAGTTGTTCAGATGTTAAATTAATTTTTAAAAGAAATGAATGGTCAGAAATTGTAGTGTTTACAGCGTCGAAGATACCGTAATAGCTTTCTTCCTGCAATTGTTATTGGTTTCTTCTTTTCTTTACAGATAATATGAATAAAACGCATGTAGAAATTTTTAATCATTTTAATACTTTACACTTGGATAACTTCCCTTACGAGAGTAAAAGGAAAAATATGTTAGAATATATTTTAATTAATCCCGAAATAATTGATGATTTGATATGTCGTGCGATTTGTGATAAGTGGATTTAAATACTTGTTGAGTGTGTAGATCAATCTTAGCGGCTTAGAAGCACATAACGAAATAAAGGCCTCGAGTTTTTATTCCTGTAAAAACATGCGAAATATTGGCGGGGACGTGCCAATTGCTTTTGTGGAATCAACGTTACTTACTCATACAGGCATTATTTATTTATTATCGATAGATTTCTAGTGATGACAGCATGATTTTTTTATTATTATAAACAATGTGCTCATTCGTTTCGAATAAAGTATTTCAAACACCTGAAATCAATGAACTTGTCCATCTAATTGTCCACAGTGCAAAATTAGAATTTTAGAAATTGTAGAATCGTAGAGATCAAGCTGAGTTAACAGCTTATGCAATTCAATTGGATATTTGTTTCTTAAAAACATCAAGAGCTAAAGTAGAGCAGCAACAGAGAATTATAGGAAAATGAAGTTTATTTATTTTTAAGAGTGAGTTGTTTAAATTTCAAAAGGATATTTTCTGTTAAGAAGAAATCTTTTTAATTAATTATGCATATTCTTTTGAAAATAAATCAGAATGAATCTCAAGTGAAAACTGATCGGTTTTGCTATCCTTTGTCAATTCTCCTGCTTTCCTCGTCGTATAAGGTACACAAAGAGTTGCTAGGGAACCTGAGTATACACAAAACTTATCATCATCCAGCTCGAAGCGAAACAACGTGACTACGTGTATGGTTAAAAGAGTTTTCCAAGAGTTTTCTATAACTGATTCAATGTTAAGGTGAAGTGTTGCAAAGAATCGTCATGCTGCTCAAATATTTGGGCAATGTTATGCCACCATATGTGAGTATGCAGACTATATTTGACAAATGTGTGTTTTAAAAATTATTTTAAAACTACTTCTCGTCATTGATCTAAACATAAAACTCGAGTAAAAATTAGGGTGAATAGAATGTAATGATAAATGTGTAATAAATATCGCGTGATTCACTTACGCTTTTTATTCAAAAATTAATTTTGTAAAATCGTTTAAATTAAACCAACAACAGACTGAACTACAATAATAACAAAATATAAAGCTAAAAAAAAAATAGACAACATAAGTGTGTGTAATTATGATTATTAAATGATTATAGGATTACGAGAACCGAGTGGTGGGTATTGTATGGTCGCCGAACAATTTAAAACTAGCTGTCGCCTCCTCCGATCGTTCCATTTACCTTTTCGATGAGAATTGCGTGAAACGGGACAGGTTCTCGACGAAACCCGTCGATTCGAAGGTAAGAAGACATTCAGAAGCATTAAGTTTGCTTTTTTCTAACTTTCTTCTACTTTAATACAGTATTACAAAATTCCTCAATGCATTGTAACTTTTGTACTTTCACCGTATCTTTTGTTTTCCCTTCTTTTGACAAGTGAAATAAATTGCATTGCAATGTTTTCAAATAGATGTTAATTAAAAACTTGAACACTGTACGCAGACATTCACGCAACAGACAATCCATTTTTAAACCTTGTTTCAGTTTGGCAAAAAGAGTTATGTGATCAAGGGTATTGCCTTCTCTCCAGACTCGACCAAAATAGCAGTTGGCCAGACAGACTGTATAATTTACGTTTACAAAATTGGGGAACAATGGTATGTGATGACAGCAGTTGAACGACATAGAAAGACTGTCTGAGAACGTCTTTCTTTAGGAAGTCTTTTCAAGCAACACTTTGTTTCCATACATACAGGGGAGAGAAGAAAGTGATTTGCAACAAGTTTCGCCAAAGTTCCGCCGTCACTTGCTTAATTTGGTTAACCGAGGGGCCAATTATAGTTGGCTTGGTGGATGGGAAAGTTCGAGCGGCGCTGGTGAAATCTCAGAAGGCTCAGACACTTTACACGGCTGATTCAACGACAATCGCGTTGGCACCGAAGTAATCCATCTTTTTCTTCTCCTCCTAATAACAAGTAGACTGTTAAGTTTTGTACATTAATTTTTGTACGTTCAGAACAATTGAGACGAATAAGATGGAAATTTGTTTTGTTTGCTATACATAGATATACATGTTAGCAAAGTATTTGCTGTACATAGATATGTGTTTCCAGCAGAACGTAGTAGAAAATAAGGAAAGGGACATTTATCGTTGAATAAACATACGACCAATGTTACTTTATTTCTTGAAGCTTTGTGAGTAAGTACAATTTATGGGCGCTTGTCAGCGGGCAACCCGCGTCATACCAGTGTATTTAGCGTCACCCGCAAATTGTACTTTATTACTAAAAATTCAAACCAGTTAGGCAAAAAGATAAATCAACCTGTCGTATCGTACAATATAGTCACGTTTCATCAACTATAATTAAATGCTTAAATATCTCTTTAAGATGTTAATATGATTAATATGTTAAGATGTTAAGATGTTATGTGATTAATATGTTAAGATGTTAAGATGTTATGTGATTAATATGTTAAGATGTTAAGATGTTATGTGATTAGTATGTTAAGATGTTAAGATGTTAATATGATTTAATTTCTGATAATCTATGATCTGTGATTTCAGCGTGCGAGGAACAGGTTTCCTATCCAGCCACGCCGACGGGAGCATAATAAAATATCATTTAACCGAGGACGGTAATCACGAGCCCTCGGGGCGTATCTGCACCCATACCGTGCCGGCGTACGCACTAGCTTGGACTCAATCTCACGTCATGGCCGCGGGATGCGACAGGCGCGTGGTGTTTTACGATTCTCGTGGAAAGCTGGTGAAGAGCTTCGATTACAGCCGCGAGAACGAAAAGGAAATAGCGACAGCCTGTTGCAGCCCCAGCGGGCAGAGCGTTGCCATCGGTTCCTGGGACAAGATACGAATCTTGGACTGGAGTCCACGACGGTCTGTTTGGGAGGAGGCGAATTCCAGGGCCTTGCCCAACTTCTACACCGTCACCGCAATATCCTGGCGTCGCGATGGTTCCAGGTTTGTTCCCATTCATCGAAACGATCCTCCCCTCCATTTATTTCATCCTGTGTTGTCTTTCTATGGCGTAGGCTGCTGGTAGGTAGCCTCTGCGGTGCTGTGGAGCAGTTCGAAACAGTGCTGAAGAGAACGGTGATACGTGGCAGCCACGAGGTAGCGTACGTTGGACCCAGCCAGGTGGTAATCCGGCCATTGAACGAGGGCAATCGACCGGTGATCGTCAGGTCACAGACTGGTTACGAGATTGAGGACGTGAAGGTGCTCGGGAGGGCTGACAACAACGTAGTCGCCCGCACAGCCAATACCCTGCTGCTCGCCGACATTGAACTGAATCTGATCAGCGAAATCCCCTGGGACGACAAGAGCAACAGCGAGAAGTTCTTCTTCGAGTACCCAAGAGTCTGCCTGATCTTCTGCTCCGGCGAGCTGACTATAGTCGAATATGGGAACAACGAGGCGTTGGGCTCGGTGAGGACAGAAGCGGTGAATCCTCACGTTGTTAGTGTGAGGATCAATGAGAGGCAAGCCCCAGGAGCACCAGACAACAAGAGACTTGCTTACCTGTTGGATCCCAGGACTGTTCGTATCATGGATCTGATTACTGGCCTCACTATTACTATGATCTCTCACGACGTGCGGGTGGATTGGTTGGAACTAAGCGAGACTGGCCACAGGTTGCTGTCCAGGGACAAGAGAGCTAGGTACGGATGTTTCATTTCATTGGCTCGCGTGTTTCATGATGTGATTGTTCCTTTGTTATTTGATCTTTTCTTTTTCTTTTTCATATGGTTTATTAGAGTAGTTTATTAAGTAGGTGAAGACGATTATTCCATGTATGGCGCAGAGAATTGGCTTCAGTGAAACAACCTAATAGAATTGGAAATAAGATATGATTGGCAATGAAGTATAGAATTATATCCAGCACTATTTATTATTGGAAGAAGTATTCAAGTATCATGAAAAATGACTTCTTTAGTAACGTTGTACAAATTTCGAGAACAGAAGTAGAATCGTCTGGAAAAAGAGATCTAAGAGTAGAAGCTTTAAGCTCTGAAACAAGACCAAGCGGAAGGTTGTACGATTTTTTTTCATGAAGTTATAACAATTGAAATTATTGGCGATTTTTCATCCAACGTACGAATACTTTTGTGAGTTGCTCCACATACATTTCAACATTTCAAATTTATAAATAAGCATCTTCAAGCGTAAATAATACAAAATACAGAGAGGAGGAAAATTCTAGATCCAACCAGATAAGTATAACTGTGAAAAATCATAAATTAATGCCTTCCATTGATTATTTTCTTAAAATTAGATCAATTCATGGACATCGAAAAGCTAGCGCCGCGTAGCGGTGAAACGGTGCAACTAATTTATATTGCTGTCCTTGTCGCACGCTGTTGCTCTCCTTGTCTACCACGCATATATGTCTGTCCTTGTCGCACGCTGTTGCTCTCCTTGTCTAACGCGCGTATACGTCTATCCTTGTCACACACTACTTCCCTCTTTGTCTAACAACGCTAGACAAGGAAAGCAACAGTGTGCGACAAGGACATCTTTCGATCTATTGAAAAAAAATTCAACTTTTTACACACACATTTTCCTAGGACAAAACACACATAGAAAGAAAGCGGGGAGCCCAATTTTAAGGAAGCACATAAAAAAGTCCGCAAATTATTCCTCTTAATTAGGTTTTTTTCATAATTAGTGCGAACTGTCACAAAATGGACATGGTGGCGCCATCTAGCGGCAACTCAGTGGTACTAATTATTTATAAAAATACTTATTTCTGCATTTTACGGGTCAAATAAGGTATGAAAAGAAAGCTAAGGGTCTAATTAGGGTAATGCGATCACCAAAGTTAACAATTCATTTCGCTAAATTAGGTTTTTTCGCAAATGAAAATTTCTCTGTTTTACGGGGTAAGAAACACTAGCGCCGCGTTGTGGCAGACTGGTGGAACTAACGCTCTATAACCATATAAGAAGAATAATTAATTTTAACTTTTGACGCCACAAATTTGCACTCTACGAGCATGTATTTCAAAGATAATGCTATCAATTACGTTCGCAAATAAATTTGAATCTAATATTCACTATAGTTTGCGAGAAATTATGCACTCACTACTGGCACTGCTCCTAACGTAAACGGAATTGAAACATTCTTTATATACGTAAACTATACTCAAACAAAACATAAAACGCAAGCTTAGGGTCTCTAA